CTGAAACAGGGCAGTGGAGTGAATGGGTATTCAGGTTTTTTGTGTAAAAGCTGATCCAGCTGTCATGATATGCAGGCTTCCTGCACCATTATCCACGGTGTCACGTGCATAGAAGCAAAATTGAAGTTGTCAGATGTGTAAAATACCTTACACATAATAAGGGTAGGGGTCATAGGGAGTCTTACAGTGCACATCTGCAAGTCCTTTTCTTAGAAGTACACATGTTATCATAATCACTGGGCAAATATATCACCTTGGCTGGGGCATCAAGTGTCAAACTCCCCTCCTCCAGGTACCTCAGTCATAAGTAGACTAGGCATCCTTGTGTTAGACCTCTAATACCCCTTCTTGCAAAGGCAAACTTCAAAGGCTGGTATCTTCATTGGAACATGCTCACAGCTGTAGTCTGTTGTCTATACTGCATAGGGAAAGTATCTTTCAGCCAGTTATGGATCTCTGGCTGTACCAAGCCAGGCTTCACTTCTCAGCCACCTGGGTAGTTGGGTAAGAGAGCTTCCACAGTGGTAAATATTACTTTTGAATACAATCCGTCAGCATGGTCAAGATAATTCAAGTTATCACCACAGATTTGGCATAACTAAGAGTAGTTGTTGCTCTTGCTTTAAACACATACTTATAGACAAAAGAGAAAGTTTGCAGCTTTGTGTCAAATTACGGGGACAATCTCCGTTTTAAGTGTGTCATTAATGTTGCCCTAAATATTAATGGAAGAGAGAGTAAGTCATTAAAATGTTCAGTGAGCTGCAGCCTGTAATAAGTGATGCTGTGGACTGTGGTGTTTTGAGAGGAATTTCCAGTGCTAGCTGTGCTGAGGGAATCACAGTCTGATCACAGGGGGTGGTGTGTTCTGCACTTTAGGGTGCAGAAGGGGATTTGCTGTGGCCCTTCTCTTTTTCTAAAACCTTTTGAGATTAGCTGCTCCCATAAGGCGCAGCAAAATTCACTATACTTCCAAAACAGATAGGAATTGATTTTCAGAGGGGCTTTCCCAGACAAAGGAATCATTATTCCATCTGTACATGGCTACCTAATAGCGGCAGCTCTTGACAAGCTCCCCTTGCTTCACTGTGAATAGTGATTAATACATACATGCAGTGGAACTCCCTTTCCAGGCCATGCCCTGGGGCAGAACAGACTTCAGTTTGACACAGACTGATGCCTTTGCTTCAAGCCTGATCGAAAGCCTTCAGTGGAAACCAAGCCATATTACCATTGCAGGAACATGCAGATGAGTTGCTGAGGGAAGCAATTTACTGCTTGCCAATTCCTCTAGAGCTACTGCCTGTTTGCAGGTTCCTACCCTGTGGCTCCTAAGATATAACCGGCCATATTCTGCAGAGGAATAATAACTTGAGAAGTGTTAGGGATCACTGCAGCTCAGAGAGACAACTGGGAGTCACAGATACCATCCTTGTGCCTTGCTTCTTTTGGAGGACATGGCATTAATGAAGTACTGCCCTGAAACACAAAAGGAAGCTGAAAAGAGAGGGAAAATGAGCTTTCACTCATTGTGAAATTAAGATGTCAAAGAACATAATTAATCAAGATTCCAACTAAAGTGGCGAGAAAAAATTCCGTAATCATCTATACATCAATATTAGAAGCATGCTTAATAAACAAGAGGAGCTTAAATTTCTCATTTAGGAGCATATTTTGACCTAATTGATATTACTGAAACCTTCTGGGAAGATCTGATTGATTTGAATATTAAAATTAATGGCTGTAACCTATTTAGGAACAATCAAATGTGGGGGAGAAAGGAGAAGAAAGGGACAATCTATCATTGTCTATTTGGAGACATTTGCAGCAAAGAAACTTATGCTCTCAAATATTAATGGGTTAACTTCTTTTAATGGGTTAACTTCTTTTAACAGAACACAAACTGGGTATGGAAAATGTCTGCTACCAATTCAGGCTGAAAAACAGTATTCATCTATTCTGTATTGGTGGGAAAACTCTATTCAGTCTAAATTATACACAGTGTTGGATGCTGCTACTACTAAAACATGATGCAGCTAGTAATGAAAGAAGCTTCTGAAAATTATAGATGACTATCACCTAACTTGGAAATGTTGCATCAATACACATTCATCTGTGTTACACCTCATCCTGACAGGTGTAAATTATTTATACCTAAGGTGCAGGTGTTCTTGACTTGCACATATTTATTATATGCAAAGTACAGTACATGTAAATAACTCTATAAATGAGGCCCAGCAAGTTCCGATCAAGAAAGGAAGGCCACACTTTTTCTAAAACAAAATTAACTTTAAAAGGTAGAGAAAGCAATTTTAGGGGGTGAGAAGGGAGAGAGAGATTTACACTGAATAGTATATAAAAACAATGATCAAGTAGTTGCGGACTATTGTTTATGAAAAATAAAAGGTGTCGGGGCATTCACAAGGAGCAGAACTAAAGCCCATGAGGGAGCGATGTGCATGAGCGTGTGTGTGTATGTATTGCTTCGTTTGCTCCATTACAGAATTGAAATGCTAATAGTGCAGTGAAAGTGCACTTGGGTTGTTTTGTAGTCAAGTCAGATAGCATATATAAGATATGATGAAATATTTTCCATGCTAGCAGTACTGCAAAAGGTTATTAAGCACCAACTGTTGAAGTCAGGTATTTTGTAACCAGCGGATCTGGCTGAAAAGCTTTAAAAATGGGTAGTAAAGAATTCTTTGAGCTAACAGTGACTACTTTGGTCTCTTTTTCTTCAGCTGAATTATAAGAAATAACGTACAAATATTCTGAGAAAAGATAAATGTGATGATCGGGAGGGCTACAGCCTTTCATACTGGCATCCATCAGAAGAAAAGCAGTGGAATAGAAGGCAGAAGAATCAACTGAGTACAGAATTAAGGGAGGGAAAAATATGTAATTCCAGTCATCATGGGCACATGGAAAAACTTTATTGAGAAATTTACCTTTTCCTTAAACCTATTTTTCCACAACAGACATTTGTACAACTGAAAATTTTGTGTAAGTGTACCACCTCAAAACCATAACCTTTCTTAGTGGAAGGCAATCTCTCATACAAGTCTAAGTAACTGGAATGTACAACATCCACACAGTGCACATCTGAGGGGGGAAAACATTGCAAATCAATACATTGTTATATGATTGTTAAATGTTACGGAACCATTATAGAATGAGTGTGTTTCAAGGGACTGTCCTTGGCCTTGTAACCCCTTCCACTGGTGACCTTGGAGCAAAACAGTCAGTACTGATTTGGTCTGGATGACAGAAAACAGGTCACTGAGCTAACAGTATGCATAAGCAGGGGGGATCTTAATGTCTGAGGACAGGGTTATACGTAGGGAGTCTAGGATATAGGCAATTTTTCCTCAATAGCACCCTCTCTCCTACTGACTGATCAGCCTGAAAAGGACTCATTGGGGAATAAGGTGAAGGCGAATAATAATGGTCAGTGCAGAAAAATGGTTGTTAACATGTTTTACCTAAAGAATATCATAGATGGCAGTTAGGTTTTATGACAACTCTCCTGGAGCAATGTGTCCAGCTCTTGTATCTGTTGTTCTGGAGGGTGCTAACATGTTGGGGAAGGGTGTTGAGGGGCATAAAAACAGCAAAAGAAGTAGAAATACCATGAATGAAAGTCATGAGCAGTGCACTTCGTTTAACTTACTCAAACTGTAGGGAATCATTTACTGGCATGAAAAAGTGAAATCTGACACTAAAAGACACTTTAGGATGCCAAACTGAGGCATAGGAATGTGGTATCTAGAAAGAAGGAAAATTCGAGTAAGACGTACATTCGTAAAGATAAAAGCAAATGACCTCTACTGCAACTTAATAAGAGTAGTGATAGAAAAATGTACAGCATGCTTTAGACAAAAGTTAATTTGAGAGTCTCACTTGCACTATTCTTCATGTAAGCACAGGCTCACAGGTAGGAGGGAGAGACTCCCTTTAGCCAAGATCCAGGAAAATTAGGAAGGACTGGTGTGGATCTAAAGAATGTAAATGCAGCTGTTCAATTGGTAGTGTTTGATTTGCTGTTGCTGAAGCACACAAAGCTACTAAGCTGCTATGAGAAAAATGATCACTTTGATCTCTGTCCACCTGACAGCCTTGTGTAGTCAGCTGTAAGCCACCACGATACCGCGATATGTTAAATGCTTCTTGACTCCCTCTGCAGATTTCTGTGGGTTTTTTCCTTCTGCTCAGATGTACAGTTCTCCTTTATCACCTTGTTAAAATAAAAAAGAGGCGTGACTAATGGTAGTGAAACAATAAGAGTATAGTTTATTTCTCTTTTACTTGGTGAAGAGTTTTGTTGTACATGTCAACAGTAAGATTGGTGCAGATATTTTTAGGATCAGCATATTTGAGATACTAGTTTTACTTGTTAGGATATGTGGCATTTCCATGAGTTTCTTGTTAAGATGACTTTTTTCTTTTATCCTGTACAACTGAACAGATTAATCTGGAAAATATACCACAGCATATATATATATGAGCACAGTCTAATCTCATCATTTGGAATCAGAAAGTAGAAAAAATGCAAGCAGTAACCTTGCATTCAGGATTGCAGTAAGGATATCTGCACTTAAAGACTGTCAAGGAAAATAGCATTAAATCCCCACTATCTAATATTCAAGGACATTAAAAGGCACAGGGTTTCTATATTATCAGTGCCAATAAAGAGTACATGTGACTAGGACACATGTCAATGCCAGTTGTGTGTCTGGTGGAGCAAGAATAAATACAAATAAATTGAAATGAGTCAATCAATGAAGCATTAGTGTTTTCAGGGATGCTTTCTTGTCATTGGTACAGTTTTACCACCCTCCAATTGCCTGATTTTGAAAAGGGAGCACTATTAAGGTTAATAGCTTCACTGTATAATATCTGCATGTTGACAGTATACCTGAAGGCAAATGGATTTAGGTAAGCAAAATCAGAGCTTAATATGAAAGTCATGCTTTCTGTTAACAATGTCATATTTATTGTAGAGTATGAAGGATCTGGGACAGAAGTTCAGAGAAAACACTCAAAATGTGGAGTTTGCAAATATAGGGCTGAGTGTGACGAGGATGCAGAAAATGTTGGGTAAGTAGTAAGTTTTCCTTAACAACATCAGTGAAAAAAAGTGGGGGGAAATGTTAAAGAAAAGGAAAAGTACACGATCATTCTTCACTGTATTTGTTATTCTTAATTGAAGCTTTATTGATGTCCAATAATAACGTGTTTGTTGTGTGTCTGTAAAGAGCAAACCATTTGCAGCTGCAAGGTAAAGGAGGAAAACAACAAAGAGGTATATTGGAAAATCTTTATCGAATTTTTTTTTCAAACAAAGGACCTTGATCTGTTTTAACCTGGCAACAACAAAAAGCAAAACACAAACCGAACAGGTTTAATTCATCCCTAGGATTTGTTTTTCTCTGTGTTCTACTTGTTCATAAAGTACTACAGGCAGTTGTTTCTATCAGTGAAAAGCTTGAACCTAAACATCAAGTTGAACTTGTGACCTGAGCCAGTCACTGCTTCCACCCTCACTGTGCCACTTGAGCTCTTGGATGCACCCAAGGAAAAACTGGTGAAAAATACCAGTTGTTGTCAGAGCTCAAAACAAGTGTTTAAGAAACAAGCAGATACTAAAACCAATCCAGAATGCAGAAGCAGATGCACTAAATTTCCCTACTCAGGATGCTTGATGATTAGAGTATGTGGCTGTCCAGGCTCTGTGTGGCTGCCAGAAGGGCCAGAGACATCAGGGGGGAAAGGGCTCAATTAGACATCCCTGTGAGGGTATTGAGGTTTGTTGAGAGGTAAAAGAAGTCCCATCTAATTGATGGGGCTTTGTTTTCCCACAGCTATTTTCCTGGGAGTGGTCACCAGTATGGAAGAAGCTTAACTAGTTTCTGGGCTGATGCCAGGTATTGGGGTCACAGCTACAGAGGCAGTGTGTGAAGGTGTTTTGAGAGAAGTGCAAATGGTACATTTTTGTGTGCATGGAGGGAACAACATCTCAGAGTAACAGTGCCTGCACATCGCTAATTGGGGGAAGCTTCTGTCTTCCAGCTGGAATCCGTTTCATGTTGAAATATGTCTTAATTGCACAAGATTTTATTACAGGATATCAGCATGAAGGCGTCTCAGGCTGTAAAGCAGCTTAGCACTAATATTCAAGGTGTGTATTCAAGATTAAATCATAGCATACAAAGGAAACCAAAATGGTAATAGTACTCATGAATACTTCACATTTCAGGAAATGTCACAGTACCAAAGTAGGCTTGCTCTTTTCTGGAGAGACAAATGAGCTGTAGCTGTTTTTTATAATGCTAATAATTTTCTGCAATACTGCTTTGGTCTGTTCAATTTATGACTGGCAAAATCGATATAGATCTGTTTGTTATATGCACTGAGATGTGCTGTTGGCTTTGAAGATAAATCCTGAAGCATTCAATTTCAGTAAAAGCTTGCCTGTTCATTCTGTACTTGTGGAATTTACATTCCTGTGGCTATGTAGTATCTATGATTTAGAATAAAGTTAAGGAGAGTGGAAGATTTATTCCCTACATTGTACTCACATAAAATGAAGCCATGCTTCGTCTTCTTGGCAACAGGAAGAGAGTGCTCTTTTGCCTCTAAGATTTCTTTAATTAGTCCTCTTTTAAAAAATTGGTGAAAACAAAAATTTTTATGTAGGAAATACTCAAAAGTTAGAAAATGTTCCCATGAGGGTTGGTCACAATCTGTCAGATCATTTCTTTCAATTTTGTCAGATTTCCATCCTAAATAATTTAATCTCATTTTATTTGTTCCAGTATCTTTGACCATTATAATAGGCTTTAGTGATATTCACCGTCTGTTTAGACTTAGATTTGAATTGGGCTCTGTTAAAATGGATTGCCTTCACAACGCTGATTTTGACAAGTCACATAGAAAGTCACAGACTTGCTTGAGTAGAAGTTAGGAGTTGGCTTCTTCTTTTCCTAAAATTAAAACAGTTATTTACCTGGCAGAAACAAGATGGAATTGAAATCTTCTTTTGGGGACATTTTATAGAGCACCCCTTAAAATGCTTTTTACGTCTTATTTTTACTTCCTTTCCTGCTGGGCTTCAACATGTTTTCAAAGTCATAAAATTATATCATGACATACAATTATTGGCAGTGCAAGTACCTTTCATCAGACTTGTATAAACATTGCTAGGCTCATATTATTATTTAACCCAATTTTGCAGCATATTGCAAGCACTATCACCCTTAGTTCTAGCAAATCACACCCACACCCTGGTTTCATAAAAATATTCTGTTTTTTATCTTCCTTTTCAAGCATGAGAATGGCCACTGTAGCTGTTTTGAATAGTGAGGTAAAGTCTACTGAATCACAAACAAAAAGAACCTTTAGTTCCGTTCAAGTAAACCTCTTAGGCCTGGGTAACGCCTGCACTTTGTGATGTTAAGACTTCATAAAGTGATTCACATGATTACAGAAGGCACTTTAAAAGGATTTTGCTTCATGATAGTAACTGAATGAGTTAGTTGAACTGTCTGCTAATGTGCAGTAGACAGTCTCAATCCATATTAATGAGATACTAACACTTACAGTAAATATACAATTATGCATTATTTTCATCCTTTTCCAAGCCATGCAGTCTAAGACCTTATAAACACCAGATCCTTCTGTTCCAAGTGCTCTTGAGAAGCAGAATGGAATCTATACGCCTGTTTTATGAATAAATCTAAATTATGGATAAAATGATTAATCAGTTGGTGGAAGGGGAGGCTTTTGTGCCACAAAATGTCAAGTGGTTTGAGGTAAACGGGCTTTCAACAGGCCAGCCACAACAGCCTAGAGCACAGAATAGGCAGAATTTCCCCTAATAACAGAATGATCCTGCTAAATACAGGTCTATTCCATATGGACTGTAGTTCGTCTTTTGGGCCTGGAGAGATGTGGGAGTCCTATGCAAAAAATGATGGTACCTGAATACTGTAGGATGTTTCTTGCGACAAGAAAGTAGGAGCAAGACTACTTGGCATTTCCTGATTTTTATATTGGATTTGCACATGTCTAAGCAAGTCCTTTCTTCTCAGAGGAGGACAGTGATAGTGCGAGGGATGACAGACACATGTCAGAGCATGGGAAATGCTGATCTGACATAATGGAAAAGGTTTCCACCATGAGGGTGGTCTGGCACCGGAACACAGTGTTTGGTGAGGCAGTGAAGTTTCCAGCCATGCAGATGTTCTGAACTTGATCAGATATATTCCTGAGCCAGCTTTGAGCAGAGAATTGGACTAGATGACCTCTACACGTTCCTTCAAGCCTAAATCATTCCGTGGTTCACGTGGTGATCTTTAAAAGCAAATTTAAACAAGGTCGGTTGTACACAGCTTAGATGCACCCCATATTACAAGTTAGTGATGTTATTTTTTGGTTGCTCTTAAATTGTATTTTTCCTTTGGAAAAAGTTGCAGATTTTTAGTTTTCATGTTTGGCATTAAAGCATTATGGCTGTCTCTGATCAAAGTTGCTACATATGCTTTTATTATGCAAGATCACACATAGTTGGAAGAATTCAGGCTTTTCACAAAGTTTTAGATTTGTATCTTCATTTTGTTTGATTTCTCAGAAGCATCATCTATCTAAACCAGAAATGCTTACAATGCATAGTAAATTGAATGAAAAAAAATATAAACAACTTTATAATTTCCACTGCCTCTGCAAAAAAAAATCAGTCGAGTTTAAGTGGACTGATTGAGACAACGAAATAAAGCCTGAGGAGATGGTTGTCGTAAACAGCATACCATACTGAAAATGGAAAGCTGATGTTCGACTGTATGCAAATCAGTACATTGCTTCTTCATATAAATGCAAAAAGGAAAGAGGTTGAGGAAAAATGATGGAAATAGATTTCTCCTTTTATTCTTCTCTCCTACAACTTATAAGCACTTTAAAAAGTTGTTAGTTTATGGGCAGGACAGGCTTTTCAAGAGCATAGAAAATCACTTGTAGACGCACTGCTAGTCTTAAGTTGCATAAACATGTACTATGGCATATTATCTGTAGAGTGATTTTCTGTAAGTCTGTGGTAACAGGATGCAGACAACAGGTTTCACAGGGATTTAACCATGGGGGATTTTTTTCCCCTTTAGCAACAAAAGTGAATCACTGATTGTATACATCATGGGAAAAGCCTGAGATAGCTCATTCAGTACCTCCCTTTCTACCCTGCCCATCAAAATGCCTTTCTGGCCAGAACCTTCCTCTGCTCTGTTGAGAAGGCAACGTATCATGTATAATCATAGAATCGTGGAATGATTTGGTACAAAACGTAGCAGGGGAGTGAAAAAGTAAATGAGAAGTTGGTAAATTCAAACTTCTATGTGGGAAACTGGCCAGAAACCTGGAGATGTAGGTAGCACAAGAGTGGTTGTGTGTTTTCTGCTGGAATTTTTAATTGGAAATGCAGTCAGGTTGAGAAGTGGAGATGGAGGTGGCAGCACAAAGCTGGGGCCACCTAGAGCTGATAGGGACTGCACCTACCCAAATACATATGGTCTGCTGTTGATATACTCTGGAGTATTCAGGCTGCAGTCTTTTCTTAGCATGCACTTGACTTTTCAGTTGTAGATAAACAGATCATCCTATCAGTACACAATCAAAAGATAGTATACCGATAATATTGAAACACTTAATATAATACAGTATGAATGCAGAACAAATGGAAACAGATGTGGTTGTAAAATTGTTCTCATCAATGTAACACTTAAATGAACTCTTTCTTCAATGAAAGCAGTGTATATAAATACTTGTAATACTATTGTACCTATTAAGGACTCCAAGTAAATTTTTAAAGAGCTCAGATAAATAATGTTCAGTGTAATCTTTATAAAGCTTCTAAGCAACACAATAGCTCAGTTTATTGCTTATGTTTGAAACTGAAATTGCTATTTATTTACAGTCTTTGGAGAGATGAATAACTTTTATTGTTATTATTATTTTCCAATAGCCACCTGCAGCACTGGCAAAGAAACTGATAATATAAACTATTTTGTATTGTGATTAAAAAGGTGGGCTCATAAGTATGCATATTTCTT